GTTACGAATCGGGCTGCACACCTTAAGATCAGCAGTTCGAAACTACCAGCGGCTCCATGGGAGAAAGATGAGGCTTTCTGCTCCCATAAAGATTTACAGCCTCGGGAACCCTGTACAGGGTCACTATGGGTCGGAACCTACTCAACGGTACTTAACAACAAAGACCTTTACTCAGCCTTCTTTCCTACTTTTTTTGTTATCAGCCCTTATCTGTCAGTCTAGACACATTCAAGAGATGATACGGTATATAGAGATGAGAGAGACACATGATAAAAATGGAGAGAAACTGGTTTTCTAGTAACAATGTTTAGTAAATTTTGAGATGAAAATGTGCATTATTAACTTTTGTCATTTTAAGTAAAATCCTCTATAATGATTATGTTGTACCACAAAACATAACTGCTGAGAAATAAAAATATTAATATCTGTATAACATTAAAACACATTACTATTAGTTATTAACTTAGAGTTACCAAGAGAAAACCTATGACTTCAATGGGTAAAAAGCTTAAAACAGTGAAAAAATAAGTTCACTTGCAAGTCATTAGCTATACCCTAAAAACATTAGTCTGTCTCAGGTATCTGAAATATAGCCCACTGGACATCACCATAAGTCAGTAAGCAAGTCTGTGTGGGCAGTGTGGGGGCCAGGTGATATGTACTTGTGTTCACAGAAAACACTGGATCAACAGGCATTGAGAACGCAGAACAGCTGAGAGTTTATGCAACTGCCACTGTGAATGAAACACCACTTCTAGGCTGCGGTGGCTTCATCTCAGGCTTAGAAAGTTTCATCATCTCTGCTCTTTTTCATTCCTTTCCTTATAGTTTTTCAGAGACAAAAAAAGTGTACACGTATTTACCTATGAGCACATAAGGAGCCCTGGTGGCGCTGTGGTTAAGCATTTCGCTGCTAACTGAGAGGTCGGCAGTTCAAATCCACCAGCCACTATGTCAGAGATCCACAAGGCAGCCTGCTTACATAACTACCACAGCTTTGGAAACCCTACGGAGCAGTTCTACTCTCTCCTATAGGGTTGCTGTGAGTCAGAATCAACTCAGTGGCAGTGGAAGTTTTTGGTTATAAACACATATGAGGGAGCTCCAGAAAGTCCGTAGAAAAAAGATAATGAAACTTTTCTATGAACTTTCTGAAACCTCCTATCTATGTGTTTATATAACTCAGAGGCAGACAACTGAGTGCCACTGGACTTGTGAGAGGAAAGAAAAGAGGTGGTAGGTATGTGTGCTACAAAGAAAGTGAGGACGGACTAGTGAATATGGTGAATGCTGAAATGTGTTGCCAGTTGGAAAATGGCTATATTTTAATATTAAATAAGCTTAATTTCAACAATCTTCTATTGTTGAATTCTGAACTGAGAATCTCAGGGGACACAGAGCTAAAACTAGGAATACCAATCAGTGTGACTCCCTGTGAGTTGACTTGTTCTAGAACAAAGTGAAAATGGCTAATTTATGGGGTCTTTAAAGCAGCACATTAGAAGAATGACCATTGTATGACAGGGTGGAGGGAAATTCTGCTTTGATAATTTGACAGCTCAAAATGAACATCTCATTTCCCCTCATTCAGTCTTGGTTTCCTTTAGCTAAATGTTTCCTTTCTTTATCACACCACCCACCCCCCTTAAAAACAAAATGGGAAGGGTGTTTAAAGCTAACTGGTTGATACTAAATATAACTGGAGCTAAACAAAAAGATCTTTCTTAACTGACATGAAAACTCTTCAAGGTAGCTATGATATGCTTCCAGCAATAAGCTGAGCTTCCCTGTTGTAGTTGATGGAAACAGATGCTTGACGGGGTGAAATAGCAGTCCCTGAGCACCACAAAGGCCCCTCTGAGGCTCAGCATCAAGGGGTTCTAAACTTAGAATCACTGGGGTCTGCTACTATTTCTACATCAAAACCACTGGAGAATAAAGCAGATCCTGAGAAACACTGGCTAAGGAAGCCTTACAAACCACATGAAATACAACACAAGAGGCTAGAGAATTTCTCAAGAAAAGAGAAGAGTGAGAATATATATTTCAACTGTGCTGAGAGACACCTGATTTGGTATCTCAGCTGCCCAACCAACAACCCTCTTCAGTTGATACCTCTGTTCACTACTTGGTACATATCAGGACCAAGCTCTTACCAGGAAGACACCTGCTTAGTACATATCAGGACCAGGCTCTTACCAGGAAGACACGTGCTTAGTACATATCAGGACCAGGCTCTTACCAGGAAGACACCTGCTTAGATATGCCCTTGCGGGATAGCTCTCACTTTCCTTCCTGTGACTTTCTTATGTCACCTCAACTCATGGAACAAAAGTAAGCAAGCATTTAAAATTAAAGCCAATAAAAATAAAATCAGTGAAATCAACCTCTCCTGAAGTCATGTAAGAACTTACTCTTGCCTCTCCCAAAGAATGGTTTTGTCCACATTCCAAGATCGTTTTTAAAAGGCAAGAACAGGAAAAAATCATCACCCAGTTTATAACAGTTGTTTCCGCAACTTCAGAGTTGTTGTTTTTTTAATTGCTGTTCCAAATAAATTAAGTCATGCTATCAATTTAGTGGGTTATTACGATCATTTTTTTGAAAAGTAAAGTAAGAAAAATATCCGCTTGTTTTGCAGGAAGCAAAAATAATATATTTCATGAAACTTTTGGTTCAAACATATATGTACATATGTACTGGATCGTGATATGAAATGTATAGGCAGTGGGTTAAAAGTTTGAAACAAGTTTGAACAACATTGAGCTATGGTAAACATGACTGAACTGGACTGCGATGGTTTGCCACAGAAAGGTTCTGCATAAATCAAATAAACATGAAGTGTGAAGTTTATGGGTCAACCAAGCAGGCCTCTGTCAACAAGATGATTATCAAAGTTATTCTAGAACCATAACACAGTCAGAAGTTACAAGTAAAAGTTCTTGGTCTGATGACACAGGAAACCCACAATTAGTTAAAACTGAGTTGACTCACCTAAAGCACAATACAATGTTAAAAATATTTTTAAAAAACTTCTTAACTGAGCTGAGATTCTGTTGGGGTGATGTCAAACTTTTGGAAATAGATAGTGGTGATAGTAACATAGTATGTTGTTGCTGTTGTAGTTAAGTGCTGTTGAGTTGTTCCCAACTCACAGCCACCCTATGTAGGGTTTCCAAGGAGTGGCTGGTGAGCTTAAACCACCTACCTTGTGGTTCAAACCAACCTTGCAGTGCAGTCCAGCGCATTAACCCGCAGCACCATACCAGGACTTCAACATAATATGGTGACTGCAATTAATGTCATTGAGTTGTACATTTAAAAATGGTCAAAATGACAAACTTTTGTGATATGTATTATAATATTTTAAAAGGTCCTTTTTCTTCCTGACAACTTGAGGATCAACTTCCACCATGATCGATAGGGAAACTCATGACCAGACAACTACTTCGACAGAAATAAATGGTCACCAATGTCCTTTGCCCTAAAAATGTAACCTAACACAGAAATTTGGGAAAACTTAGCCAAAATGTATAAGACTACACCAGACACCATCCTTGTATTTGGGTTTTGATGGTGGCAAAACTGGCTTTAGTAGGATTTACCATTCCTTGGATTATGCAAAGAAAAATGAACCTAACCACACACTTGCAAGACATGCACTATATATAAGAAGAATAAACAGACAGAGAAAGAAAGAGAATGAAGGAACTCAAGGGGTCTGCAAAGGTCAACACTGGTGCCAGCAAAAAAGGAGGAGTAAATGCTAGCCCCTCTAGCACTGACCTAGATCAAAGAAATCTGGACTCTGGCAGGAAATGAGAGAATGCTTTCATCTCCTAGAGCGCTACAGGCTAGGGTCACAGCCAGAGGACTCATTTCATTAGCTGGGAAATAAGAGTCTCCAAGAACCAAGGTAAATGAAGAGCTTATAAAAAAGAAGAAACCACTCTCCAAGTCCTGCCAAACAGCTAAACAAGCAGAGGGACTCTATTCTGAGCATGTCTCCAATCTTTTATTCCTACCCACTTCTGACCCCCAACACAGCCACATCCTTTGCTGACCCCATTTGGCCTAATCAAATAACCCAGTCCCAGCTATTCAGTAAGCAAGGGAGTCCAAACAAGAGAGGAGTCCTTCCTATGTGGAGTTAGGAATACTAGGTAGATAGCATGATCTCTTAGGAGATGTCACAAGAACCTGTGCTCTTTCTGGGCATTTACTTCAAGAAAGGAGCAAAGATATTCCTCAGATGACTGGTTCACCACACCTCCTATCCCTGAGCCAACCCTGTCCTCAGATTGCCAAGCTTCTTATAAAGTAGGAGACATGATCTGTCACACCTAGTAAATGGATGGCTAGATCTATGGAAAAGCCCTTTACTAGTAAGAACACTAATTACCATTGCCTTATCATTGCTGTTAGAAAGGGATCGTGGTGGTGGCTGGTGGTGGTGTGCTGTCGAGTCAGTTCGGACTCATAGCGATCCTGAATAGGGTTTCTGAGGCTATTAAATCTTTATGGGAGCAGAAAACCTCACCTTTCTCTGAGGAGCAGCTGGTGGATTCAAACTGCTGACCTTGAGCTTAACAGCCCAATGAGTGACCCACTAAATCAACCAGGGCTCGCTCCTTTTAAAAAGGGATGGCTACAGGCAATTCCAGCAAACTCTTTCTTTTAAGAAATGAAAAAGGATTTCTAAGTCAGATCATTAATTACTTTGTGAAAGTATACCAGGAGGCAAGTAGCACATTCCTTCTGTTTTAGAAAGGGGGATAATAAAGCAGCAAGGAGACAAACTACTCCAGGTCTAGCAGCATTCGAGCTGCTATGCTCCCGGCTGTTACTATTGCTTAACCTCCTAGATTATGTTCCTTTGACTTCACAAACCCAAGTTTCAGGGCCCAGAGTATGTTTCACCAAATAATTTCTGAGAAAACCCAACTGAAAGAAAAGCTTGTATATATGTGTGTGAGTGGTGTGTAAGTATGAGATTGTACCTGTAAGAGAGCATGGTGCATTGTTACCTCTAGTTCGGCTAAAACATGGGCAGCATCCTTACTGTCCTCTTGGACCTCGAGGTCCTCCTCGGGGATGGTCTTCCAATTGCCCTGGTGAGCAACCAGAGTGTGCACTAGTTCATACTGGCCAGGGAGGGCCAGGCTGATCCGAGTCTGAGTCCCATAGGTGAAGTGGAGGCGCCGAAGCTTACATCTCTCCTCACTGCCCAGCTTGGTGGTAGGAAGTACCTGCACCCCCAACAGCAGATTCAACAGCTGACACTTGACATTACAATCCTGGCCGAGGATCAAGATGCAGGGGGGGCAGTCCACAATCTGCTGGAGGTACTTCTCTTCCTTGGGTGGAAAGGAAATGCAGCTCAGCTGGCCTGGGATGGGGAGGGGAGGGTGGGAAAGGAGAAAGAAGTACAGAGAGAAGAGTGAGGAGGGGGTAGAGAAACACACACAGAGAGACCCCATAGGAGGTACAGTCCTGGAGGATGAATTTCTAGGAGGCTTTCAGCTGAAGGAAATACCAGGAAGACATCCCAGTCAGAAAAGACTCTTCAAATGTCAAACAGGAGTTCCTTCCCTGCCTTATGCCCAAGAAATAACCTTTGTTTCTACCAGAAAAGGTGGCCCGTATCAATTGTCACTGAGTCTATTCTGACTCACAGTGACCCCCTCTGGGATAGAGTAGAACTGCTCCTTAGGGTGTCCAAGACTGTCCTGGTGTGGCACTGCAGGATAATGCACTGGACTGCACAGCAGGTTTGAACCACAAAGTCGGTGTTTAAACCCACTAGTCACTCCTCAGAAACCCTATATTACAGGGTCGCTGTGAGTCAAAAGCGACTCGGCAGTACGTAACAACAACTCTTTACAAAAGCAGTCTGCTACAGTTTTTTGCCATAGTCAGAAAGCTGTGGGTTTAAATCATTAACCTTCTGGTTAGCAGCCGAGTGCTCTGAGTGCTCCTTGAAAAGGCGGGGGTGACTGATTTACCTGCTATTTATTTATTCATTAAGTGAAGGGACAATCTAAGGAGCTTAAGGGGATTCAATCACAAACACAAGATCATTAAAATGACTAAGCTAGAAAAACCACATGAATTGGGACATGAGTCCAAGGAGAAACTACACCTAAATATGTCAAAATTTAAACTTTCCTTCTAAGAGAAAGCCTAATACCTGAACACACATGGCCCCTTAAAATTTCTCTAATGTAATTTTAGCCTGCTACTTGGCTCGCTTAAGGAGTTCTGGGAGCGTAGCGGTTACGAGTCAGGCTGTCAACCTCAAGGTCAGCAGTTTGAAACTACCAGCTGTTCCGCAGGACAAAGATGAGGCGTTCTGCTCTTGTAAAGATTTACAGCCTCGGAAACCCTGTGCAGGGAACCGACTCTACAGTATTTAACAACAACAACTGTGCTCACTTGACATATTTTGTAACTAAATGTATGTATGTACTACATTGTTAAATGCATATATACTGAAATAGAATGCTATTTAAATTTGCATAAACTCTAGAATCTTTTCCAGTTCATCTCCCTGAGAGTAGGTGCCAGCATTCCAGCTGCCAAGTCATCTGTTTTCTTAACACCCTGGGTGCTCAATTATGATCAATACTTCTTCCTAATCAGATCACATTCCTCCAGCTTAGGGATGCCAAGACCCTGCCTAAAACAAAACAAAGGGAATGCCTATATCAAAGGAGACAAAAGGACTGCCTGTTTGGAATACAATTGCAGGCAGATGCAAAAGAGATGCAATCGATATCGGAAACATCCTTTTTTCAGGACAACCACCACTAACCTAACTAGCCAGCTCCCCCAAGCAGAGTCAAATAGTATTCAAGAGAGAACGAAAGCATCCTAAAATATGAAAATCTCTGATGGGAAAAGTCCGAAATTAGTTCACTGAAACCTCAGATTTGGAAGTAAATCTTTTCTCCACCTCTTCAGGACCAGTGCTTACCAATGCCTGTGATTCAGGCCATCCTTGCATTTGTTTAGAAAGGTAGAGACACAAAGTTCTTACACTGTATGCACGAAATACACAACATCTTCACTGAAGTTATGGGTGGTACCAAATGAAGCAGCAGTATTTGCTTTAGTCAACCATGAGTTGCATGAAACCACTTGTAACCTGCTGATTTTGATTCTATAGTTGAAGCAAGCAAGAATCTTGGGGGTGTAAATGATTAAGCACTCAGCTACTAACAGAAAGACTGCTGGTTCCAGTGGCACCAAGAAAGACCTGGTGAACTGCTTCTATAAAGATTACAGCAAGAAAACTCCATGGGGGCAGTTCTATTGAAAGCTGACTCAACAGAACCCAACGACAACAGCAGCTAAAGAGAGGCCTGAGGCCTGACTCATTAAAGATTTTATCCTACTTCAGTAGGTATCTACTCTTGCTAAAGACCTGTTTCAAATCCTCAAGCCCACATTTCTTCCACAAATGGTACCACCAAATCAGAGATAAGGCTTAAAGAGATCTGCTTTTACCTGTTGCTGTTGTTAAGTACCGTGGAGTCTGTTCCTACTCAGGGTTTTCCGAGGTTGTAAATTTTTACGGGAGCAGAACACCTCGTCTTTCTCCCGTGGAACTGCTGGTAGTTTTGAACTGCCAACCTTGTAGTTAGCAGCCCAGTTCGTAACCACTATGCTACCAGAGCTCCTTTTAACCTAGACCACTTTATTCCTTACAGCCTCTGCTTTTCATGTCTGTCTGTATATAAGCTTATTGTCCTGGCCCACACATATATATCAGCAACATGACACAATGAAACAAGGAAGTCTACTTTCCTGGAAAAGAGATGAGTTTCTTTGAAACTGACTATCTATCTAATCCTGTAAGAAGCTCTGGTAGCAAAGTGGTTATGAGTTGGGCTACAAACTTCAGGGTCAGCAGTTCAAAATCACCAGCTGTTCCTCAGGAGAAAGAGGAGGCTTTTTACAGCCTCAGAAACCCTATACAGGGTCACTATGAATCAGAACCAACTCCACGGCATACAACCACCTGCTAATTCTGTGCAAGGTATTTGCTAAGCACCGTAAAGCAACAGACTACATGACTAGTCTTTGGCCTACAATCTAAAAGCAAGGAGGACATAGTCAATTGCTGTGTGATCACTTAACTGCAAGTGGCAATGGGCTAGTGACAGTCCCTCAATACTTTATTCACAACTGCTCAATACTAATCACAATTTATTCTAATGATCTCTTTACAAATATCAAAAGCAGGAAGACCAATCATATCTGTCTCTGTAGCCTCAACAGCCAACACAATGACTGACATATACTTAATGTTATATATATGACAGGGCTTCAAAAAGATCATAGAAAAATTCCATTTTTCCACAAACTTTTTGAACCCCCGGCATTATTTGTCTGTTCTGTGTAAGACTATACAATGCAAAAAATTGTCTACAGAAAACCAAGGACTTGGAAAAGTTCAGTAGAGTTTAAAAGCAACTGTCATTCCTAAAAACCTTCTACAGTTCAACATGCATAAAGTAAATGTGGAGAAAAGAATAGGGCTTCCCTCACAACCTTGCACAACTTAACACAATTTAATTTGCACACTGTTCAGTCTGAACAATGAGAGGTCAGCTAGACAGTCTTCACTGAAGTCCCCTAACCTTCTTATCTTTCCTCTTTTTCCAATCCTTCCCAGATATCTTTAACAAGTTTCTAAATAAGTCCATCTCTATGAGTCAGAACCGACTCCATGGCACATAACAACAACAACAACAAATAAGTCCATACATTCCATCTTTGTAAAGTTTGAACTTTTGTAACATTGTAACTCATGATAAAAAGTTGTTTCAAAAGCAGCAACAACAAACTAGGCAAGTTCTGTGACTGTTGCTACTAGGAGAGTAGAAAAAGGGCCGAAGACCCAAGAGGCCTCAACGCTTGTTACTAAGGCACTGTCAACTACATGGGAGGGCGGTACATGTTGCGTACACCAAAAACCACAGCCAGACATACCCACTTATACATCTGATCCAATCTCTCCTACCAAAACAATCACAATAAAGAGGCCTGCTGATATCAAAACAACTAATGACCAGTGTGGAAAGGGGGATTCATTGCAGCAGAGCACAGTTCTAGTTTTTGCATCCATGAGCTCTCCAAGAGTTCTGCATATAACCTTCAGGACACAGAGCGGTCTCCACATTTCTGGACATCACATTTCCGTTTTGAGTGTGGGATTATTCAAGTCCTTTGCATCTCCCAGAGGCGCTGGTGGTGCAGTGGGCTAAGTGTTTTTTGTTTTGTTTTTTGGGGGGCTAAGTGTTTTGCTGCTAACCTAAAGGTTGGTGGTTCAAACCTACCAGCTGTTCCCAGAGAAAAATAAGAGTATCTGCTCCCATAAACACTTAGAATGTCAGAAACCCTAAAGAGCATCCTACTATGTACTACTGGGTCACTATGAGTTGGAAGTGACTGAGTGACAGCAGTGGGAGGGCTGCATCTTCTATTACTCTTCAGCTTTTTCACTGATCTCCAACAAATCTATCAATTTGAACAAGGGCATGAGGAGGAATGAAGTTAAAACTAGATCGTATCACTCCTTGCTTCTCCGAGTAAATGTTTCGGTGAGGACAGGGTGCACCATTGAAGTAAAAAGATCACTAGAGAGCAGGGCAGATTGTCAGATTCCAGACTTCTCCAATGACTCAATTGATGGCCTTGGCAATACACTTGGTCTTTCCAACCCTCAGATTTCTCATCTGCACACTGAGGAGTTGGGTTAGACCATCTTTGACAAGCTCTCCAGCTCTCAAATGTCAGGATTCTATCAGATTTTAACTGTTGGAAGAATATAATGATGACTGGGGAGGGGGTGAGGGAAAGTTGGATTGACTGATTTGACTTGATTTTAAATTATACGTGAATTTAATTACGCAAACTCTCCCTGGACTTCTTTAACTGCAGATCAAAAAGCTGACTGAAGTAGCCAGGGGCTCTGAGGGCCTACAGTGCAGCTTCACCAGTTCTCTACGGAAGAGATTAACTGCAGACGGACAGTAGGAGGGAGTGGGGAGCAGCTGCCTTGCTGACAGTTAAAGGGCTTCCAAGTTAATCGGGTTTCTTTTGTAATTAATATAACAGCATCTGCATATGGGCTGCCAGAAGGGAACAGCACGGCTTCTCAGCTGGTGCACATTAACCCTGCCAACTCGGACAGGAGGAAATTCAGATTAAATTGTTTTAAGTGCAAATTTGGGCTTTGTGTGTGTGTGTGTGCATGGTTGTTCTTAAATACAGATCATCTTGACTGGGATTAAATGAAAAGGGAGGAGGGGTACAGCTAAAGTAGCAGCCCATTTTGTTTGTGTTGGTGTTGGTGTTAAGTGCCATAGAGTCGGTTCTGAC